CAGCCTCGCTACCACCAAATAATTAGAAATAGGACAATTTGGGGAGGAGAAAATCCAGATGGGGTTTAAGGCCGCTAGACCGGCAGGAAATCTTTTTATTTCTGGATTTAAATCAGCTTCACAACAGCATGAGGAGCCCTGGGGGATGTGGCTACCTGGTCCCCACCATGCAGGAGGGTCTCAGCTGCCCCGTGTTCTGCAAGAAGGACGGATTGAGGAGAAGACGAAGGGACACAGCTCGTGCCAACCACAGCTCTGCCCGGGCCGTGGAATTTCCCAGCACAACCATTCCCTCCAGCAGCTTTGCTTTGCTTTTCTCCTAATGCATTGAGAAAATTCCCAAGCTCTCAGCATCCCCAAAAGCCACCGGGTAGATCCTGGTCCTACACCATCTTCCCACCACCCCTATATTTAAAGCCTTCTTTGCACCACACTGCTTTGTTTTGCGTTAGAAGACAAAAGGGATTTTGCGCAGCTGGAACCGACTTCCAGAGTGTTTTAATCGCCCGGGACCCCGGAGACAATGCAGGGAGGAGTTTGGAGACATACTTCTGACATGATCGCTGCAAATCCGCTGCAGATGTGGTTTCCAGGAAGCCGCCGGCCGCGTTGCATTGTGCAGCTCCGCGCCGCTCCCTCTTCCCGCAGCTCTTCGTGGGGTCGGGCAACTCACCCTGCGGAGAAGGACTTGGGGGTACTGGGGGATGAAAAACTGGACATGAGCTGGCAATGGGCTCTTGCAGCCCAGAAAGCCAACCGTGCCCTGGGCTGCATCCAAAGCAGCGTGGGCAGCAGGTCGAGGGAGGGGATTCTGCTCCTCTACTCTGCTCTGCTGGGACCCCCCTGGAACACCGGGTCCAGTTTTGGGGTCGCCAGCACAAGACAGACATGGACCTGTTGGAGCAGGTCCAGAGAAGGCCATAAAAATGGTCAGAGGGCTGGAACACCTCTTCCACGAAGACAGGCTGAGAGAGTTGGCTGAGTTGTCTTCTCAGCCTGGAGAAGAGAAGGCTCTGGGGAGACCTTCCAGCGCCTTCCAGTACCTAAAGGGGCTACAAGAAAGCTGGAGAGGGGCTTTTTAGCAGGACCTGTAGCGATAGGACAAGGGGTAATGGCTTTAAACTGAACGAGGGGAGATTTAGACTAGATCTAAGGAAGAAATTTTTTCCAATGAGGGTGGTGAAATATTGGCACAGGTTGCCCAGAGAGGTGGTAGATGCCCCATCCCTGGAAACACTCACGGCCAGGTTGGACGGTGCTTTGAGCCACCGGATCTAATGGAAGACATCCCTGCTCATTGCAGGGGGTTGAACTAGGTGAGCTTCAAAGGTCTCTTCCAATCCAAACCATTTGATGATTCAAGGATTATCAGGAGCACCCAGAGGTCGGGTTTGAGGGCAGATCCTGGAAGCTTTGAATTGGTGGGATGGCTACATTGAGACTTGTTGGTGGAGGCCCAGTAGTAGCCAGCGGCTTCTCACCTCTCTCTGGCACCCTGTGGATGGGCAAGTTTAGCGACAACCGGTTGGGTTTTAACCTCTAAACCCATTTTTACCCCCAAATATCTGCCTGTTTGTACCAAAGTGGATTTGCTCCAAGCCATGGGGGCTGCACGGAGACAGCAACGGGGTTTCATTTTTTGAGATCTAGTCCCAAAACGAAGCACACGCAGGGGTGAAGATTGCCCATCCCTCTCTTGTGCTAAAATCTCGCCCCGGTCCGTGAAATTTGGCTTGCAGTCATCTAGCAAGGGAAGGCTGGATAAAGCCTCCAGTGTTTCCTGAAGCTTTTCCGCCAAGAAAAACTATTCCACACCTCTTTTCTTGCTTGATCAGCCCAATTTCTCCCCCATCCCTTATTCCTTTCTGCTCTTGGCTTTTCTTTATCCCCTCTGGATTAGGCTGAGGGTTTCTGTCGAGTCACTGGCACGTCTGCACCCTTCCCCACCGCCGCATCGGAAACGTGGCCGGGCTGGAAATTCTCCGGGAAATGACCCATTTCCTCAGCAGGACAATACCCTGGCGTGGTGGTCCGGCCGCTCTCGGCCGCACAAAGCCCTTTCCGGTGCCGGTGGCTCAGCCTCGGAGGGCAAAACTGCCCAGAGGTGATGCCCATGGTATCGAGAACAACTTTTGGTGTTATTACTAACATCATCATGTTATTTTTCTGCTGCCGGCGGGATGGGTCTACTCAGCAAAACCAAGGGTTGGAAATCTCCCCCGGCGGTGTGGCGGTGAGGAAGACCGTGGTCCGGAAACCCAACCCTCCCGCCACCGGCAGGGCTTTATATAGCGAGATAATGAGAGAGCAGCGCGGCAGGAAAGAAACGCCCTGTGGTCCGGGCTGCCGGGGCTCCAAATTGCTGCCTTTGGGCAGTTGTCCTCAATTAAATGATGAGTTCAGCCTGCCCTGGAGCAGGGTCCGTCTTGGGGAGGAGAAGGCAAGGGAGAGATGGCTGGAGATGTGTTGGCTGGGATGGAGCTGGCTGAGCCTGGAGGACACGTGGCACCCACAAAGCAGTGGGAAGCACTGTGGTGACACGTCATCTTAGGGACATGGGTTCCTGGAGGACATACAGCAGTGGAGTGCCATCACACACCTCAGAGTAGAGCTGTAAGGACATGGGGATGTGGCTCCCTGGAGGACACATGGCCATGGGACCCATGGTGCCATCACACAGCTGCAGCAGTGCTGCAGGGACACCGTGTCCTGGGGACACTGTTTCCTGAAGGACACACAGCCATGACACCCATGGTGGTGATGTGCAGCTGCAACAGCGCTGCAGGGACGCATCATCATGGGGACGTGGCTCCCTGGAGGACACACGGCCATGGCACCCATGGTGCTGTCACACAAGTGCAATGGTGCTGCAGGGACACCCTGGCCTCCTGAAGGACACATGGTCATGGCGCCTATGATGCCCTCATGCATAGATGGGCAGTACCACGGGCATGCCCCTGTCTGGGGACATAGTTCCTTGAAGGACATGCAAAACCATGGTGCTGTCACACTAGCAAACACATCACTGGAGGGCAGTGGGACATACCTCCCTAGAGGATACATGGCCACAGCACCCACAGTACCATCACACACTCATGGGCAGTGCCATGGGGACACTCCCTCCTGGAGACAAGGCTCCCTAGAGGACATGTGGTCTCCTACCAGTCCCATCTCCCGAAGCCACCCTGAGCCCCACATGTGGGTCCATGGTAGCAGGGTGGCTGGGGACAGTCCCATGTCCCTCTCTCCCCACAGTCGACATTCGGGAGATCAAGGAGATCCGCCTGGGAAAGAACTCACGGGACTTTGAGCGCTACCCCGAGGATGCTCGCAAGCTCGACTTCACCATGTGCTTCATCATCCTCTACGGGATGGACTTCAGGCTACGGACACTCAGTGTGGCCGGTGCGTGGGCTCCCTCCCTGCTCCCCCCAGCCACTCTTGGGTTCTCATCCCCTCCCCAGCATCCCATCTCCCTCATCCCGGCCTCACGACTCTCCTCTTCTTCCTCCAGCTTTCTGCGAGGAGGACATCAACCTGTGGATAACAGGTCTCAACTGGCTGGTGGCAGACACCCAGAAAGCCCAGACCCCACTGCAGATCGAGAGGTGAGGAAGGACTGGTGGGTCCCATTTCCTTGTCCCCATCTGGGGATCTGGGGGACGAAACCCCACTGGGTTTGGTCTGTGCTGCAGCTGAGCACTGTCTGTCCATCCCTTCCTTCCCAGGTGGCTGCGGAAACAGTTTGATGGGATGGACCGGTCGCGGGAAGGCAGGTGAGCATCGGCACAGCCCTGCGCCAGGATGTGGCTGGTGGGTTGGGCTGGACAGGGCTATATCCCCCCAGTTGCACCTCAAATCTGGAGGCTGAGCCAGGCTGGGAGCAGGGGTGGTGGGACAAGGTAGTACCAGGTTAATTGGGGTCCTCAAAGACGCCAAAAATCAGAGACTCAAACGCAAGTCCCCTTCTTGCAGCTGTAGAGACCATGGTGGCCCTGATGCCCCCATGCCCACTGCTGCATTTCCACCAGCACCAGGAGAGGCTGAACCATTAATGCAGCCCATAAACATCTCCCCAAGTGAGGAAAAAAACCCAGATTGAGTGAATTTGGACTTAAATTATTAAGGAGATGGGCATCACCTGCAGATGGGATGATGGCTTAGAATGCCTCGCTGGTTCTTGGACGCACTCTCTCTCCTTGACCCTCTGTTCACACTCATGCCAGACCTCGTGTAATTAGGGGTCCTGTGCCACTGCGGGGATCTACAGCCCAGTAGGGTGGGAGCCCCATGCCAGAGACCACGCTGGCAGCAGGATTTGGCATGAGATCCTCAATGGTGGAAGCTGACACCCATCCGGGGGTTGTCCATCCTCTGCGAGGTCTGGCCGGTGCCCTGATCCCGATGCTGACTTGCTCTCCCGCAGCATCACGGTGAAGGACCTGAAGGCCATGCTGCCCCAGGTGAACTATCGCGTCCCCAACATGAGGTTCCTGCGGGACAAGCTCATGGTAAGAACCTCCTGGCCACCTCAGCTATGCAGGGAGAGGGTCATCGAGCCCCCACAGCTGAGCTGGAGCCAGCCTCGGTGTCGCTGGCTCCGGTCGGGTGGCCCTGATCTCATCCATCACCCTCTCTGGCAGGAGGTAGAAGCCAGGAACGAGATGACTTTCTCCCACTTCATCCAGTTCTACAAAAACCTGATGTTTGATGCACAGAAGTCGGTAAGAGCCAACGCTTGTCCTCCCAAGCATCCTTCACCCAGTGCAGCACGTCCCTGGCCGGTTGAGCCTGGTCTCCTCCTTTGCCTTGCAGGTCATCGAGCAGCTGGAGCTCTCCTTCCCGTTGCGGTGAGTACCCAGGAGCCCGGTGGCTCCCGTCCTGGCCAAGCCTCCAAGGGTCGGATCCATGGGGTGGGCAATGCAGCCGGGCTGTGGGGCAGAGCCAGGGGAGAGCGTGGGGTCTGGGTGGCGTGCGTGGCCCCGGAACATCTCCCAGTGTCAGGGCAGGGTTGTGATGGAAGGAGTGGTGGGGATGGCAAGGGTGGTCTCAGGGGCAGAGATGGGAGCAGGGATGGGAGTGGAGATGGGAGCAGGGATGGGAGTGGAGTTGGGAGCAGGAAGGAGCAGGGGTGGGAGCAGGGTTGAGCAGGGATGGGAGAAGGGATGGGAGCAGGGATGAGTGGGAAGAGGAGATGGGAGCAGGGATGAGCAGGGCTGGGAGAGGGGATGGGTGTAGGAATGGGTGTAGGGATGGGTGCAGGGAAGATGGGAGCAGGGATTTGAGCCAGGACAGGTGTGGGGATGGGAGTAGGGATGGGAGCCAGGATGAGAGCAGGGATGAACAGAGATAGAGGCAGGGATGAGAGCAAGGATTTCAGCAAGGATGGGTGTAGGGATGGGATCGGAGATGTGCCCAAGGATGAGTGTGGGGATGGGATGGGGGATGTGAGCAGAGGCATGAGCAGGGATGGGTGCCAGGGATGCAGGGACATGTCACGCTGCCCTGCTTCCCACTGCCCTCCTTCCCACATCCTTGAGCAACACTGCTTGCTCTGGTTGGGTGTCCGCCTCTCCCAGATCATGGGGTGACACTGGCAGCATTTGCTCCAGTAGCACCCAACAGCTCGAGGTGCCCCTTGCACCCCATGGCCTGCACTTTCCCCGGGAACCCCTTGCGAGCTACTGCAGCTGGCAGGAGTCGGGGGCAACGGAGGCTGCAGGTGGGCACTGGTGCCTTGGCTCCTCCATGGGGTCTACCATGGACCAGTCCTTGCTGATGTCTGCTCCGTGTCCCAGGAACGTGGACCGCCCCGAGCTGTGCCAAGTCTCCCTTTATGACTTCCAGAAGTTCCTGCTGCATGACCAGAAGGTGGGTGCTCTTAGACATCCCTGTGACATCCCTCTCAGCTCCAACCTAGGGGACCTTCATGGGATGCCCCAGCCTGGTTTCCCCTGTAACAGCAGCCATGTTTGCACCACAGGAACCCTGGGCCAGCGACGTGGGCATGGTGCGGGACTACATGTGCACCTACCTCAAGGAGAGCTCCAGTGAGGCGGTGGACCCCTCCTTCCAGCTGGATGAGGTGGGTAGACCCACGCAGCACCCACCGAGGGGTGTCTACCCAGTCCCAGCAGGCTCTGACCTCTCTGCTTCCCCTCTAGTTCCTCACGTACCTCTTCTCCAAGGAGAACATGGTGATGGATGCCAAGTACGAGCGTGTGGTGCCTGAGGAGATGAACCACCCCCTGTCCCAGTACTGGATCTCCTCCTCCCA